GGCAGGTACATACAAATGATCACAACACAGTAAGATAAATGAACCTAGACAGAACCAACTCAATCCAACTAAATTTACCTTATGTGATAAATGTGCCCCAGAAAAAAAAGGTTGAAAAATGTTCCACTTTATTAATAGAATGACTTTAAATGTCCTAGAAAGTCTTAGGCAGGACCACTACATAATTTGTGGGGCTCTTTGTTCAAAAACTAAGAATTTCAAGGCAATGACAGCATAGCATGAAACCAAGAGGCCCCAGGCAACTGTACAAGTTGAGTGCCCATGAAGTCTTGTGGGCTCAGCATTTTCAAGAAATTCAAGTGAGCAGTATTTTAGGAAAGTAAAGGATTTTTTCACTTTTGTCCTATAAGTCTCTATTCATTTGTGGCATCTATATGCATGCCAGCTAGTGTATAAAGCCTATAAATACAACAGTAAAAATGATAGCCACTATCTCTACCCTCATGTATGTTACAGTCTAGCTGAGAGCTTTGCATGTGATCATTTTCATTACCTGGTCCTATTATGTCTTGACTACATTCTGAGAAATAAATTAAAATGGCCAATGAGTCTTACTTTTTCTTTATATTTTTAAATATATAGTACAAATTGAAAATATAATTTTTAAATGTATAAATATATAAATTTTCTATAAGGAACAAGTCTTATTTTGGTTATCAGAAAAACAAGGTTAATATGAAAAAATTTGCTCAGAAGTTCTATAATATTTGAAATTTAAATTTTATTTTTAATACCTACCTCTGGCAAACTTAGGAAAAAAATGTGAGGAAGTAGATGCAACCTTTGTCTTGAAGTTTCAAGTTTCTCTTATTTATTTGGTTGAGAAATTTTTGTCATACCTGCACCAAAGTTTAGCTTCTGGATATGACTTTCAGAATCTGTGTTTAGATCAGAAAAATTAAGGTGAATTCTTTGGTTTGCTACATCTCAGGTTAATAGCATTAGTTGATTTGGTTTGCGTTCAGGACACATCTAAATGATATTACTCCAAGACAGTACCTAGCTAATAGCTCTACTTGTGTCATTTATAGTCAGAAACTATTACCATGTATTCTTAAGGATCTCTGTGGTGGAAGATTCCATAATGGTCATCCTTTATTGACCACTTGCTCTATGCCAAGTATACTAGATGTTTTACATATATTAATTCATTTAATCCTTGCAATAATACTGTGTGATTGATATTAATCTCCATTTTATATATAAGGAAACAAATTTAGAAAAGTTGCTTAACTTGCTCTAAATTTTCTAATAACTGGCAGAGTTAGAATTGGAATCAAGCCTACCTGATGCTGAAGCTACTTGCCACCAAGCTATGCCTTCTCCCAATCCTTTATGATTTTCAAGAGTGCCCTGTGAAAGGGAGGCATAATAATTGATGAGACTATTTGGAGAAGAGCAGGATGGAATCACTGAGATCAGAGTTGTCCTGGGAAGTCTGGGGTATATATGACTGCCTGTAGTCTGCAGAACAGCCACTGGCCAGTAGGAAAAGGTTTTCAGTGGGGAGAAGACCTTAGATTGGCTCCCATCCCCCTGCCTCCGCATCCTCAACCACCACCATCACCCCAGATATCCAGAGAATATGGAGAGTGGTTGCAGGGCTGCAGAGGGATGCGGGAATTGGGGAAAGCGGGGCTGAGCAAGAGCGTGGTGGAAGATCAACTCTGAAAGAAGAGAACAGAATTCTAAGGTGAAAAAGGAACTACTAAAGCAAAAAATGACCCCCAAAAAGTTCCCTGAAAGTTAGGGGGCCCGGAGAGAAATAGTAATTTCAAACCATTCCATCGGAATTGGGATTAAAGGATCACTAATAGATGTTCTCTTTGAAAGCAGACCTTGCTGGAGAGAAGCCAAGAAGAGTAGATGTTCCAAGCTGTGGCCTCATTTACAGCATCATTGTCTTGGTTTGTAAATCCCTTAACAGTCAGAGTCTCCAGTGTAGTCTGACCTGCATTTGATCCTTTTAATGCATTCTTTTCTTGTGTGGGTATAGTCATGATTATTGCTGCAAACAGAAAAGTTTAGTAGGCAGTGTGGTGTACACACTCAGACTCACGTCAAGGTTGAGAAGTACCCATTCTCAGGGCAGCTTTGCAGATGTATTTCTTGGGTTTTATAAATCTTTGCTCATCTTTGTCTCATTTTTATTTCTTTCCTGATGCACAAGTCAGCATGTTGAATTCATTGTAACAAACTTGTGCATGTGGGCGGAGAGATTGGATTACTAAGCGTGTGTGATTAATATAAAAAAAAGATTTTTATTTGAGGCCCTGAAGAAAAAGCATGTTCATTTTTTTAAAAATGTCCGTGAAATGGTGGATCTTTGCATATTTAATATTTTAAAAATATTTTCTAAGGAATTTTTTAAATAAACATACAAAGGGTAATAACATACCTGTTTTCCCACCACCTAGAGTTAACTGTTAACATTTGGCCACGTATTCTTTAAGACTTTTTAATAAGAAAAATGAAGCATTATAGATGAAAATAAATTCTTTTTGATAGACTACCTCCCAATGCCATGCTCTTCTATCTTTCTAGTGATAACCTCTATCATGAAACTAGGGGTTATCTTTTCGGTCTGTTTATAAATACAAATAGACGTTTGTATGTATGTTATACACACGTGTGCATCTGTGAACAGTATTGTTTTTTGGGTACTGTTTACAAATGTATATACAATGTAGCATATTGCATGCACAGTGGCAATAGTAGCGAACATATGTTGACCGATTACAGTGTGTCTGGAGGTGTACTGTCTCATTCTTTTCAAAGATGCTAAGAAGCAGGAACTGTCATTATTATACCTCTTTTAGGAAATGAAGAAGGGCAGAAAGGTCATTTGCCCAGAGTCACATAACTAATAAGTGGTGGGGCTGAGAATTAATCCCACAGTCAGGCTCTGGAGACTGAGTGCTTGACCATTGTGCCAGATGGCCTCTTCACTGTCTCACTCTGCAGAATTCTTTACTCTCTCAATATCATGTTTCTGATATCCGTAATTGTTGATTTTGTAGATCTAGTTGATTCCTTTTCATGGTTATACCATATTCCATTAAATGAATGTACTTTATAAGCAGCATTGCATGGTGGTTAAGACTTGTAAAATAGGAATAGTGAAAGTTTCTATCTCACAGGGTTGTCGTGAGAATTAAATGGTTTAATTCAAATTAAGCAGGTAGAACAGTACCTGGCATGGAGTAAGCACCCAATAAATGTTAGCTGCTATTATTTGCTGTTGTCATCTACCTGTTACCCTATTGAACCTAATCATTAGGTTGTTTCCAGTTTTTCACTATTACATATATTGCCGCAGTGAAAGCCCTGTGCTTCCGTATGAAAGTTTCTTTTGTGTGTCTCCCTAGAAGAGGAATTGATGGCTCATAGGGTACACGTGTTTTTACTTTTACTTGATATTGCCAAAGCCAACTGTACTACTTGACACTCCCTGGTGTGCTCTTTGACAGTTCCCATTTCCCCACATCCTCAATAACAGTTGATATCATCTGACTATTAGATTTGCCAATCTAATGGATAAGAAATACCATGTTGTTGAATTGATGAGGTGGATAAGAAATAATAGCATGTTGCTGAATTGATGAATTTTTTTATAACAGCTTTCTTGAGATATAATGCACATACTGTAAAATTCACCCTTTTAAAGTGTACGATTCACTGATTTTTAGTATCTTCACAGGGATGTACAATCATCAACACTACCTAATTTTAGGAGAAACCCCTTACCCATTAGCAGTCACTCCCATTCTCCCCAACCCCTGGCATTGCTAATCTACTTTCTGTCTCTGTGGATTTGTGTATTCTGGACATTTTGGATAAATGGGATCATATAATATGTGAGTTTTTGTGACTGGCCTTTTTCACTTAATGTTTTTGAGGTTCGTCCACTTTGTAGCATGTATCAGCACTTCATTTCGTTTTATGATCTAGTAATATTCCATTGTGTGGATATACCACATTTTGTCTATTTATCAGTTGATGAAAATTTGGGCTGTTGCTACTCTTGGCTATTATGAATAATGCTACTATCAACATTCATATGCAAATTTTTGTATGACATATATTTTCATTTCATATATTTATATACCTAGCATTGGAATTGCTGGGTCATATGGTAACTATGTTTAACATTTTGAGAAACTGCCAAAGTGACTGCACTATTCTCTAATCCCATCACAATGTCAGAGGGTTCCGATTTCTCCAAGTTCTCACCTCCGATGCTTGTTATTGTCTTTCTTTTTTGATTCTAGTCATCTTAGTGGTGTGAAAAGGTCTCTCGCTGTGGTTTTGATTTGCATTTCCCTGATGGCTAGTGATGTTTGGCATTCCTTCATTGCTTGTTAGCCATTTGTGTGTCTTCTTTGGAGAAATGTCTATTCAAATCCATTGCCTATTTTTTAATTAGGTAATTTGTCCTTTTATTTAAGTTGTAAGAGTTCTTCATGTATTCTGAATACAAGTCCTTTGTCAGATATATGATTTGCAAATATTTTATCCCATTCTGTAGGCTGTCTTTTCACTTTCTTGATGTGAATTCGTGAATTTTAATATTTTTATTTTCGTATGTTTTCTCAAAACTTCAGTTTTCAAAATTGTCTCCATATTATCTGCTGAGTGGATCACAAGCCATATAGCCTTGAAGTGCACACTGAGAGTGAAGTGAATGTATCTAGTTTTCCGTAGATCAGAAACTCCTGCGTTGGTCACAAAAACGGAGACTTCCCAAGGGCATCTAGGTGATCCTCTCAGCCAGTGAAGGAAATTCAGTTTTGATAACAGAAGACACGCCTTCACACCTAATTAGAGTTTGAATTTAATAATGAAAAGCATTGAAAAACAATTCCTTATATTTTCAAACTGTTGATGGGTTAATTCAGAAGCGTTGGGGTGTCTGTTTAACCTGGCATCTTCTTTTTCTTCTTCTCTTTTCTCCTCCCCACTTCTTGTTTCAATTTCAGATTAAAAATGGCTCAGGAATCAGTCAGCAAGTTGACGTCAGAGAAGAAAGTGGAGACAAAGAAAATCAACCCTACAGCTAGTCTGGTGAGATGCATTTTCAACATAACCTCAAGATTTTTCTTTTTTTTTTTTTTTAAAGATTTTATTTATTTATTTTTCCCCCAAAGCCCCAGTACATAGTTGTCTGTCATAGCTGCACATCCTTCTAGTTGCTGTATGTGGGACGCGGCCTCAGCATGGCTGGAGGAGTGGTGCCTCGGTGCGCACCCGGGATCCGAACCCGGGCCGCCGGCAGTGGAGCGCACGCACTTAACCGCTAAGCCACGGGGCCGGCCCGAGATTTTTCTTTATAACTGAGGTGCACTCGGGAGTCTGTTTGAATTTAAAGGAGAAAACTCAGAGGATGACAGGTAGTATCTCATTTCCCATCCCTGAGCAGCATATGGTGAGAAAGAATATGCGGAGGAGGGAGTAGGGAACAGAACACAGCTTCATGCGTCCTAGCAAACTCAACAAAGGTCGTTTCCTGATAAACCAAATTCAGTCACTTGCCATTCCACACCCCACCCCATACGGTGATCCCCCTGATCCCAAAGCCCGTTTCTCCTGAAGTCTTTAAGCTTTTTCATCCTTAGCAATTCCTTTTCCCTATTCAAGAAGGGGGCAGGGATTATCCTCTTTTGAAAGTTGGGAAAACTGAGATGCAGAAAGATACAGCCTACTCTGGATCACTTCACAAATGGATCCCAAGAATCAGGACGAGGCTCTGGGTCCCCTGATGTCTCTCCCTGTCCTAGAAACTGGCAGTCTAGTCGGGCGTCCTGGCTTTGAGGGCAAGTTGCCCTTCACAGTTCCATTTTCGGTAAGGATCACAATGAATCTCCACCTGTTTGCTATAGAGAATAGTGGGAATAGCTAAATGGTGAGGAACCCAAGGGGTCATGGTTCAAATCTCAGCTCAGCCACTTACTCATTGTGAAACCTTAGTGAAGTGACTTTACTTCTTTCTTTTCGGAGAAAAAAGGGAAATAATATTATTTTGCTTTATGGTTATTTTGAGGAAACTGAGAAGAGACATATAAAGTGCCTAGCACATAATAAAAGCTCAATAAATGTTAGCTCTTTTTCTTGTTATTACAAATTTCAGCAGCTTTGGTTGAGCCTACACTGGGGAATGGCAGTGAGTGATGAGTTGGGGTATCGCTCTCCCCACTTTGATTTCAGACCCTTCTTTCCCTGTGCCCTGATATTCCACAGCAACTTATTTTATCCTTTTGTTACAAGTTCCTTTTGCCAGCTGCTGTAAATCCTTTGACAATCTCAGTGGGGTATAAGTTATAAAGTGAGATCATTTCTGTTGATTGACTGTGGTGTCTCTCATAACAACCCCATCAGCAGCTAAATGAATGTTGAGTGAGGTTGATGAGTGAGAAATGGAGAAGTCAAGGCCATACAGCTTGGCCAGGGAAAGCCGCGAGTAGTGCACATGGTCCCTATCTGAATGGACACATCCCATTTGACGGTGTGTTCATTACACTCATTTGTATGATTTTCGGTGGCTCAACCCTAATTTTTGTCTTCCTCCTTCTTCAGCTTTCCCCAGGCCTCTTATCTGAGCCTCTATCCTAACTTTTACAGCAAAACCTTATTTCCAGAGGCAGAGAGAATGGACTAAGTTCTGTCGACAAAGGGGAAGCAGTGGGTTTACTCTGGCATTCTTCTGTAGGTTGACATTGACCTCCACTGTGAGCAAGCTCCCAATTGTGATCCTCAGCCTGTTAGGATTGTTGGTTTTGTTGTGTGTTTGTTTGGGTGGAATTATGGAAGAGCTTGTGAACTGATTCCTGCTTCAATTTCACAAGTCAGGGATGGGATCCAAACTCAGGCTGGGTGTTTAAAAATCATCAACTCAAGTTTACATCTAGGCCAATTTAGTGATTCACTGCAACATCGCATCTCATACATCACAAGCAGCTGAGGATCCATTCTCAAGGGGATTCTTGCTGCCTCTGCTCTTCACAGAGGCCTGTACTTCTCCCATTTCTTTTTTAGCCTTTTATATGCCCTCCCCAAAAGCAGACATGCCCGTCCTTGCTATGCTTAATGTATTTACTTTCTAAAGTCCTAGAAACAGTGAAAGTCCATGTTTCTGTTTTGTGTACTCTTGTTTATTTTCACATCTTGCCAGCAGATTTCCATGTCCTTCCCTTTTAGAAGGTTGTCCCTGAGAGGGAAGCTCAGGGAGATCAGAGCAGAACATCCGTGGCAAAATGGGAGCTCCTGCCCTTCTGCACAGACTAGGTCTGGTCATCTCCCGTCCTGCAGAGCCTTTGTCCAGTTCTGCCACATTGATCACATGTAGATACATTCAATTTGGAAACAGTGATTTTTCATACCTAGACTTCCTAGAAACTATTTCCTGAGCATTCCTAATTCCATTAGTAGTAGGCCAAGGAGGTCAAGTAAGACTGCCAAGTTAGGACCTTTGTCACAGAAAAAGAACAGAACAGAACAGCATGGTGTGGTAAAGGTCAATGTTTTAGATGGGTGTAGTTGGTTGATTGGCTGGTTATTCTTTTTTGTTTGTTTGTTTTTTGGACAGTAAGGGTGATACGTTGGGAAGGGCAGGTAACTGAGGGTTTCAGGAAAAAGGGATAGAGATATTCTCATTTCTAAGGTGTTTGGTACAACTCTTCAACATTTTGGAATAAAATTTGAGAAATGTATCAAAATCTGAGAAAGATGAAAAATTAGGGAAAGGAATGATGATAAACTCATTTTTTTTCCCTTAAACAACAGAAAGAAAGACTGCGTCAGAAGGAAGCCAGTGTGACTAGCAACTAACACAGAGACACGTGAAAAGGATGACAACAGAGATGTAGTACCTGCATGATCCTTTCCAACACCAGTGCTGCAGGAAGTTCTTGAAAGATATGTTACTAAATGTTTGTTTTGCTGATCTCTGTCTGAGGTCATCCGCAGTGAGCACCCCGTGCCTTCTTAAAGTCCCTTATTAAGCCACAGGAACAATGAAAAGCTGTTTAAGGGAACATTGCAGGAGTATTTGATAATTGTTTCTTGTGGAGGTCCAAGGTCCACTCCGTTATAAGACCAGAAGAAATACCAAGATTTTCCACTTTTTTTTTAAAAGCAGAGATTTCAAACTTTCTAACCCAAGCTTGATATATGTAAACTTGTAACAGAAGAAGAGAAGGATCTTTTATGACATTTGCCTTGAGAGAGTTCAAGCCTTGGTCTTTACACACTGCTGGTTTGATTATTCGTCTTAATTTTGATCCTATTTCAGCAAGATCCTGAAGCATCTTTCACCGAAAATGTTGAAACTTACCAAAACTATATTTAAAGAGGTTCAAGACTCTATTTCCCAGACTAGAGAAATGGTTATTTTGTTGTTCATGTAATGGAAAGGACAGAAAATGGAATTATACGTGGATGTGAGGAGGGGTTAAATAGCCATAAACTTCATCCTGGAAAACATGTTATGATACAAGGAGTTGACATCAGCCATTAAGCAAGACCCATTCTTTTGTTTTTGTATCAATTCATTTTGTTTTCCTGGACCAGCAGGGATTCTCCACCCCACACCCAAAAGAAACAGTGATACTTGAGCAGGGACAGACTTGGGGTCAAAGCACCTGCTTCGACACGTAACCTAGTAACAGAGCACATTTCACATTTCAGACCGTTCGTGAATGGCTAATGCCATGTTGACATGCAGCTGAGCTCTACGTAACATTCTGGGTCTGTGAGCAGCTGGACCTTTCCCGCCAACACCAGGAGGCGGCTTCCAGACAGAAGAGCAAATGCTACCCGCAGCCTTTTATCATAACTTTGACTGACAGGCATGTGACGTAGAGTGAAGCCAGAGGTCTTTGATGTTGAAAAAATTAAAGACAGGAAAGAAGTTCTTTACGTCCAAGTGAAAAGAGGATGATTACGTTAATATTCAAATTTGTGTGGAATATCATGCATAAGCAGCTTTTTCTGACCCTGGCAGCCCATATGACCACTGCCCCTTGAGTCACAAGAGAAACCACCTTGGACCTCTCCCCTGACATTTTTTCTGTAAGCCATCACTCTTCGAATCTATCTTATGAGGGAAGAAGAAATGGGACTGGGGGTGAGTTGAGAATAGGATCAGAGACTATCAGGGTTTGGTCTTGAAGGGAGAGAGGTCCAAGCTTTCTCCTCCAATTAGTGGAGGACAGTCAAGAGATGAGCAAGAACCTTAAAACTCTCCCAATCTGTCTGCCATGTGTGGCCTGCCCCTTGGCCCAGCATCTTCCCAGAACCTTTCAACTTGCCAGACGCCCAAGCGTCTACCCAGGACATGCCTGCCAGTCATCAACCCCCTCAGGGACTCCATAATAGATTCAGCTAATTAAAGCAGCACCATATCCTAATATAATGCCCATCTCGGGAATCAGGATCACACAGTCAGGATCAAACCAAGTCACAGAAGCCATATTCCTGCAGGTGCTAACCACCTTTTCTAACAATTCAAAAGAAAGGAATATGGTAACATAGTTGAGTTGGGGATTTTTTTTGTTTTTTCAATTCATAATAAAAGGATGAGACAAGCAAAATAGAAAAGCTAGTAAGGAACTTACATGACTAAAAGGAGTGGCTTGTGAGCGAGAAGGTTTTCATACTGCTTTCTTATATTGTTTCTCTTCATTTTCACTTAAGTGTGAAGAAAACCTAAGGAATTCATCAATTTAAAACAAATTCCACTTACAGCCATCCTGTGCTTTGTGACATTCCTTCTAGTATTATCATGCAAAAGAAAAGTGTTTGTTTTGCCCATGCCTTGGGAACGAACTTTGAGTTCAGTCTAGATCCTTATGGGTCCTTATAGACTTGACGGGAGAGAGCGGCAGGTGGCTTTCCATGGAGTCACGTGGCCCACTTCAGGTCTCGAAGTACGATGCTCAAAAGAAAATTACTGAAAGCAAATAAGACTGTCACTGGCCACATAACCCTGCAAGAACATGCTCTCAGGGAACCAATGCTGAAGAATAATGAGTGGAAACATTTAATCTGAGAGTTAGACAAATGTGGCCCAAGTTGAATTTCATCCTAGTGGACACACTAGAAACTGGCTGTAAAATACCTATTTCTAAAGAGTGAAGTTTGCCTGCCTCTGTTGGGGAAACCTTATGATTTTGTGAGACTTGTCAAACGTAGTATGGTAGTGTATTAAAACAGCAGGGCAGAAGCTCCATTATTCTCACCCAGTTTGAATCCTGCATTATGTATCTAGATGCTCCCTCCCCAGTCCACACATGTACCACATTGTTGACGTAGCCTTCATTTCTAACCTAAGTAGATGCTCAGTAAAAGTTCACAAGAGTTCGTTCAAGGTGGGCCATCTAAAACAACCTGGAGGCCCTTAAAATGGTCCCTCTAAAATGCAGTTGAGGTTGTGTTCAATGCAACAGGTGTCTCTACACTTTTCATGGAGAGGAAGTAGTTGGGGTACCACTTAACTGCTTGAGCATTTCAGGCAAGCAGGGTTTAAGTGGCTGTTGTAAGCACAGCCCTCCCTGAACTACATGGAGAGTGGCCAGTATTGCTACTCTCTCTTTAACCACTCACACCAGACTTACTAGTTGACTCTGAGAAAACTTAACCTAGAAACAATGTCATCTCTTCCTAGCCAAGATTCATTAAAACCAAGGATACAATCGGACAGCAGTTCAGATTCTTGCATGAGTAACTGGCATAATCGTCGAGCACATAAATATATCAGATATTACACTAAAGCATGCTATAAACTTGTTAGGTAAAAAACATCAGACCTGTGAGGTGTCAAAAATCAGGTTAGACAGAGGTGTGCTATTGGTTTGTACCCCAAGCAGAGGCAGCCTATGGGGTGGGGGGAGAGTGTGGCCAAGCAGAAATGGATGAATATGATGATGGCAGAGGCCAAAGGGTCACACATGACCACCCTGCTGCCCAACAGTTGCCTTTTGAATCCTTGAGTTGACGTCTATGATGTCTCTTCAGACGCTCACTGCGAGTACCTAGGAATTATGGAGAAAGAGTTTCTGAAATCTGGGAAGGAGAATAAGGACCCAGTGGTGCTATTCCATCTTGAAATGTTCTAGCCTGAGCAAATTGGCAACATGGCTGAGGGATTGAATGCCACATTGGGTGTCGGTCTCTGACCTTCTCATCCCCCCCAGTAAGGTCAGTGGAAGCTGGAGACCTGCTGACCCTCCCTTAGGCACCTCCTTTTTCCATAAGTACCATAAGGAAAGGCATTTCCTACATGAGAAGCTCATATGCTGCTGGTGGAGAAACTGGGAAAACTGAAGGAAGGAGTAAACCTCTTTGTTAGTATTGGAAACCTACAAAGAGATAAAGCCATCAGTTCAGTTCTTCCAAGGGCCAGGATCCAATGTAGCAGAAGAGATGTATTTTTGGTAAGATTTGCTTGTTGGCCTGGGATTGCACATCTCTTCATAGATTATACCACCTGCAATGGGGGAGTTTTTACTTTAATTATATTCTTGCTTTCTTGAACGTTATATTTTCTCATTTCTATTTCTACTTCTCCCTTGCCTGGTGTCCTTGACATAGATCATTGCATATGGCAGTGTGGCTAACAGCACCTTGTCAGTGTATGAAGAGGAATTAGCAATACAGACCTGCAGCCTCCTTCCCGGTAACCAGACTATAACATTGACAGGGGAACCTCTTCATTTCCTGACATTCTAAATTCGTCTATTTTGTAGTACTATCTCCTCCCCGCCAAACAAAGATAAAACCAATCTGGGGCTTTCTGTGTCAAGAGGAGGGAAGAAGTCCAGAAAATATAGCTTTTTTCTCCCTGAATATCCAATGCAGATATCAAATATCCAGTTTTATTAAGTAGTTTAAATTGTCTAAAAATCACTAACAAGAACTGTTAGTTTTGAGCTTCTTTTTTCTTTGATCTTGCTTTGATCTTCTAATCAGGAAAAAATTACCAAAAGGCAGAAGGGAAAGAAAGCACCAGCAGATATGGTAATCCACAAATTAATTAGTTCCTGAATCACAAAAAATTGACGTACTGTGAAATCTAATGTTGTGGAAGTCCTAAGCACATAAGAATTTGAACAGCTGTGAGGGCTGTTGAGTGTAGACAAAGTAAGAGTTGTCCACTGCCTGCTTGAGACTTTAACCTAAACCAGCGGATTTTTAGAGTGTGGCTTCGAAAGAGTCGTGTCGCTCTGAACAGTTTATTTTTGAAGAAGCCGCAGACAAGGAGAAGTGGTGTGATACAGTGGGAGTGCTAGACCATTACAATTTTCTTACTCTGGGGTCTCTCTTAAGTTTATAAATGTGTGGAACATCCAGAAGACCATGAATACCACCTTTCCTGTATCAGGATTTTACCTTTAGGAACACTATAACTGAAGAGAGTGGATTGAATAAAGAAATAACTTTCCTTCATGTCAGCTACTTTGTCATCATGAAGAAATCTTCAACATGAAAGAAACAAAGTCTATGTGGCCAAACTAAAAGTATTTGAAAAGAATGGATAATTTTTGGCCTTTCCAAAATGTAAGTAACTTGTTGGATGTATTTCCATTTTCCAGCTATAGAGAGAAACAATCCAGCTGCTTGGAACTTTCTCTATTATTGGTGCAGAAGTCACTCAAAGAAAAGCACCTTCAGAAGCAGACCTCAGCAGATCTGCCTCCTTGAGACTCACATAACAGTATTAGCAATTGGATCCAGACATAACTAAACTCGGTTACTCAGCTGTAGGTGACTGAGAGGCCCATTTTGTGTCATTTCTGCGCTTGGTCAGTTGTTGACACCTTGTTGGAGGCATTGAATTTTAGTTTCACAATTCTTCATTTCCACTCCCAAGGAGTGGGCAATCTACCAAACCCTTCCAGATCAACACTTTGCTGGGAAGTAGTGAATTCAAGAGAGTTTTAACATGTCAAACTTGAAGCCAATTCAGTAACCTTATTTGTTCCAAGACTCTTAATCAACACTGTGATGTAAACTTAGCATCTGGGAAATTTGTGTAGTTGACAACTTACTTGGCAATGTGAAGATATGAAAATGGCCAGCTACCCCCAGCTAGCTAACCCTGTCTTCTAAGCCCCTGTGCAGTTTCTACCAATGAAGAGATGAGAGAAGCAAATCAAGCCTCATTCGGTAGGTTGTCTGTCCTCAAATGGAGCTTATTGGATTCATTTCCCCTCCATCTGCAGCCTCTCTCCCAACCGCCCTGGTGATAAACAGTAGCATAGAAGGCCTTTCCCTTCTCATCCTTCCCGTCTCTGGTATGGCTGTGTCTGGTATGACAGTTCACTTCAGTCAAGAGCTCAAATGAACTCTTGCGTATTACATCTATGAAGTACTATGAAGTATCTTCTCCATTCTATGATCTGGGGAAGACTGACTTCATCTGAATTTTTTATATGAAAGTGGTAGCTAGCTAAAGCCTTTAATTTATTCTTTTACATGCCATGTATACTCATATAATTTTCTGGGTTTTTTTTTAATCTTCTCTTAAATATACTAAGAGTCTTCAGTCTAGCTCCTTTTCTAAAAGCTGATCCAAATACTTCTTTGGGCTATTTTTTAATGCTGTGTGTGAAATTTGATAGTATTGGGCTAGCAAAATGCAAATGAGCCCACAGTTTCCGGCAGAAATTCACCTCCAAAGAATTTGGCATCCTTCTCCATGGAGTAAACAACCTTCTACCATACTCATGTAGCCTGAGCATTTTCCTAAATTTCTCCTGTACAGACACCGAGGGGCTCTCTGTCTTTGAAA